CCCCCCTCCCCCAGTTGCGACCCCCTCCGCTCCCGTGGGAGTCAGGATCCGGCCGCAACCAGAGGGGTTTCCTTTTGGGAGGACGAGCGCCTACTCCGCGCCTAAGCGCGGGAAGCACGATTGCCCCCCCTCTCGAGAGGCTGCCGGGGGAAAAGTGCGGGCTTACGCCCTCACGCCCCCCCCCCCCGACACCCTCATCCGGCGTCAACCGTCGACGCCGGTATGTGGTGGGCCCCTCTCCTCCGGTTCCCGCCGCCGCGAGCAGCCATGTCCATGGGCACAACTGCCGACGACGGGAAAAAGGAGGCACGCTCCCGTTCCCCGCCGATAGTGCGGTCAGGCACCGCGGTCCTCCGAGTCGGTGCCTGGCCAGCCGTCGAAGTCCACACAAAGTGGACATCTCAGGCCGGACAGGCACCTCACCGCCTTGTGGCCAGGGGAGCCGCAGCGGTAGCACGGCTGCCCCTGTCTACCGCCGAGGTGCACCGGCGCCATGTATGACCAGCATGCAGACACCGGTAGCACCTCGCCTCCTTCATCACGTTGGCGACAGTCGCCCTGTCGCCAACTCTCCCTTTGCTGCCCTCGCCGGCAGTCTCCCTCCTTCTCTCTCTCTCCCTCCTCCTCTTTTCCTCCTTTTCACAACCCTCGCCCATTCCCCCGTAGTCCCCCCTCCGTCCTCCCCCGTCTCCGTTCGTCCGTCCGTCCGTCTCCGTCGCCGTCGTCCTCATCTCAATCTTCGTCTCATCCCCCAGAGCCCTTCGAGCCACCCCTGTCGGACAGACACTCCCTCCATGAGGCGCCTCTCGATCAGCTTCAGCCGGTCCGAGTTGGCCGCCAGTCTCGAGGACATGTCCTCAAGCCTGGCCACCAACTCCCCCGGCAAAGGAGCCACCTTCAAAGGCGCCTCAGTTACCTCCTCTGTTTCGGTCCACTGGTCCTGGACCATCGTCCCCTCCGTTTGGGTCCCCTGATGCATGCCGCCCCCACCACGCGTGTCATTTTCCTTCCCAAGTCGGTCCCACTTGCGACGCGTGAGCTCGGCTACAGCCTCTGGCAGCAGGTGGTACGCCCCATCCCAACTCTGTTCCCCCCTGGATCTCCTCTTCTATCTTATCCCTTTCTGCCGCCTTGTCTCTTTTTACTTCTTTCTCCTTACACTCTTTCACCCTCACCCACCTCACTATCTCCTCCACCATCATTTCCACTCTGTCCATCTTTCTCTTCAGCTTCTTCAATTTTTCTTTGCACCCGCCTGCTCTGCTCCCCTTCATTCTTCTTTTTCATTCACTTTCTCCTTCATCTTCCTGAATTGCACTTTTCTCCTTTCTCTTCCTTTCTTCGGCCCATCTGTCCCTTCCTCTCTCTTCTTTATACCTAACCACCTTTTCTCTCCTCTTCGTCCTTTCCTATCTTTTTCCTTCCTCTTTTGTCGTTTCCTCTTTTCCTCTCCTCTCCCTCTTTTTACTCTTCACTTCTCACTTCTCCTTCCTTCAGCCTTCCTCACTTCTGCCTTTTGTTTAATCCTTACACTTTTACCTTTCTTTATTCTCACCATGTGCGTACTTGCGTATCATGCGTGACAATGCGCACGCAACTTCCTTCCTCTTACGTGTTCTTCCTGCTTTTTTTTATTGGGCAAAAAGTAAGCCTTGGTCATGTGACCATACAGCTGTGGTACAGAGATTTAATACAAAGATTGTAATACAGAGATTTATCCTATCATCTAGAGGTATAATCTACTATAGTATAAAGAAATAAAGTAGTTCGTATTCTGATTTTTTTTAGACTAGAACATAATAGCATAGAATACACGCTTACAGTTACTCAAACTATATAACGCTTAAAACGATAGTTTATTAGATTACAAAATAAAATAATTAAAGCTTATCTTAACTTAACGGCTGACTGGGAACCAATATATTCTTAAACCAATAAATAAAAAATAAAAATAATAAATAAACTAATAAAATGCAATTTAACTCGACCAGAAACTGGCTAAATCGAAGTTTAACATATCTAGGCTTAAGATTAAGAATCTTAAGCATATGACTTGACAATATAATTTGCTTTCGAATTAGAAATAGGCTAAAAAAAACCGCTAAAGTATATATATCACCACTTACATAGGATCGCTCTGTACAGGTTTATGAAATGCATCTTAAACGGGTTAAACTCAAATAACTGGATCAAACTAATAACTTCTAAAATAAAAATTTTAAGTAACCTTAACACTGGTGATAGACTACCGCCCTATAAGAGCTTGCTAATATCTATAAATACATATATATTTTTTTTTTCTTTTTCCCTTTTTTTCTACTTTATTTTTATTTATAATCGTTAAAATACACCTATTTAGCAATAGAAATATCGAACCAAGAAAAGAGGACATTGTGTTACTTAAACATATTTATATTTTCATTTTTATTTTTTGTATGAATGAACTCACCGCAAACACAAGTTTTGCATCTATTGTACTAAGCAGAGACCTGATTGAAAACGTTAGTACTGCTATCACCCCCGATAATCGCTTTATTAACAGAGACCTTTGCTTTTCGAAGCGACCGCACTGCCAAAAAACATGATCTCCGTAGATTCCGTTAAGTCACAATAATTGCAATTCGGAGAGAGTACAATGTCGAACCTGTGAAGACTTTCAGCGAAGTGTGATCACATCTCAGTCTGCAAATGGAGACCACACTCTCCCGCGAAATGTTGAAATCCTGAAACCAGGGAACTCTATTTGATGTAAGACAGTTTTTCATATACCATATTGCTTTACATTTCCCTGTATCCTTGCACCATGTGAAAAAAAGATCAAACAATTCATCCTTCCATTTTGAACTAAAATCTCTGATTGAGGTGTTGATATAATAATCCCTCCCTTGCTTCGGAGCTTCTTTAGCTGCCTTGTCTGCCATTTCATTTCTATTAATCCCACAATGACTAGGAATCCATACTAGCCTAATATGACCACCATTCTCATTAAACTCCTTGATACTGTGTTTAATTTTGAATATTAGGTGCGAGATTCTATTTTGCAGACTGATATTACTTAGCGCCGTTAAAACTGATTTTGAGTCCGAAAAAATAGTAACGTTTCTAATTTGAAGTTCTTTCATTTTATTAATGGCTTCTAAAATAGCCATTGCCTCTAGAGAGAAAATGGATGCATATGAATGAGTTCTGTATCTACAACTGTTTAAAATTGTAACAAAGCCGTCGAAAATATTATTCTGGTTCCGAGTCGAAGCCACGGACTCAAGGCTCGACCGACGATCGGCTTTGTTTAGCATCTCGAGCGGACATCGACAGGTCAACCGAACAGCGAATCGCGATTCGCCGCGCGCGTGTCACGCGCCTATTTCATGAAAAGCTCGTGATTCCGAGTCTGTTGTCTACCCCGAGTTTAAAAAGGGAAATCAGTTAGCCCAGAGATACTGCCGAGAGCACCCGTCGGTATAGCTGCATACTTATAAAGCATTCGCGATCTACTGTCTTTCTTTGTGAACTTGAACAAATTTAAACTCACATAAACAATTATCAGCCTTATTTGTCAGACTTTTTTGTTTAATCCTGAAATCTTTCAACCGGCAAAAAGAAGAAAAAAAAATAAAATTTTCTTTATGTTTCGAGAAAACGATCGAAGGTTCTTGAACATATTGAATGATCCTTCGAGCCGGATATTCTTTAATCGGATCATACAGATAATCAAAATACGCGAGATATTCGCGTTGTGAGACGGAAAAGGTGAACATTGGCAGTGAGACGTCGGACTGTGACTCCTCGTTTTACAATCGAGTGAGTGCAGAAGAAGAGAAGGAAAGTCAAAGACAGTGTCGCGTTCGCTATCAATCGGGGTTTTCTCTCTGGGCTCTCTCACTCTGCTTGAGCGACAAATGGAGTTAATTTTCCCGTCGTGGAGTTAACTTTAACGAACATTACCGCGGGAGTCAAAATGTTGAGCTTCGCGTCTTATTCGCGAGTTAATTTACAAGGTTCATCTCGGTGATCTGGTGGTGGAAACAATTCGTGAACTCAAAGTCAAAATTACATCGTGTTTCGCGGAACGAAGTGAAGTATTCCACGAAGGTGTTGCCGTCGGCGTCGATAACACGCTCGGAACATCATACACAGTGCTAACCGAGATTGGTCGCGACGATTAAAAAGGAATCGTCGCGAGTTCGTCGCCGTCGGCGTGGCAATTGAACGTCATGGCGTTAGTTCTTCAGGCATAGGAGAAATCCACTTGTCGATAAAAAATCATCCGCGGAAGGGTTGCCGTCGGCGCAGCTGTAACGCTCCCCGGCATATCCCGTGTATTCTTAAGCGACATCACAGTGTCGCGATTCGACCGCAAGTCGTCGCGAATTCGTTACCGTCGGCGCCGTGCTCACGCGCCCGGTACCTTCGATCAAGTAAATATTAACGGCTCATTAACGAAGAAATAATGGCCGAATTAAGAAATTTGCTCATCTCGCAAGTTGAAATCATCGACTCGATAAAGCGAGTCTTCGTTAACTTCAAGAAATTAGCGAAAGCTAATGTTACATTAGCAAAGACGCAGGGGCGTCTTGCAACTCTGGAAACGCTTTGGACTTCCTGTCGAGGACTACACGTCAAGCTGCTGCAGGTCACAACTTTGGAGGTGCAGAAGACTGTCTCGTATTTTCTGAATGGAGACTTTCTGAGCGCCGAGGAGTACCACGACACGGCGGACCTTCTTCGCGATACGATAAGTCGACTCTCAATTAATCAATCTCCGTCGTTAGAAAACAGTACTGATTCTTCTATTCGCGAGGGCGTTTATAATCACAATTTTCAGTTGCCACGGATCTTACTTCCGAAGTTTTCGGGCAAGTTCTCCGAATGGGAGAGCTTTAAAAATACTTTCGAGTCTCTTGTCGCGAGTAATGATTTTCTCGCGAACACGCAGAAATTTTATTACCTCAAAACGAGCGTCGTCGGTGACGCTGCCTCGATTATTAGTAATTTAAAGATTTCCGACGCTAATTATGATTGACGAGTATGACGATCAACTTACGTTGATCCATACTCACATTTACGCCTTCATGTGCCTAACGACAATGAAGGCGGAAAACGTCGCGGAAATGCGAAAGTTGAGAGATACCGTGTCCGCATCTCTTGCGGCTCTCACTAATCTAAAGCGGCCGGTGCGCGAGTGGGATGACATTCTCGTCTACGTCATCTCTCAAAAATTTAGTTCGAAAACAAGGAGCGAATGAAATTTAAAAATTTCATCAAGTCGCGAGCTTCCTTCATACAAGGATATCCACGAATTCCTCACGCTTCGAATACGAGGTCTGTCGGACTTCTCCGACAATCCTAAAGTAATCGTCAATTCTAAGAGTGACAAAACGCAGTCCTCCGTTCATAATCTTTCTGCGATTAAGTGCATTTGCTGTTCCGGCAGTCATTCAGTTACGAAGTGCGAGGAATTTCGTCGGAAAAACGCGACACTGCGGCATACAATCGCGCGACAGAATCGAGTCTGCTTCAATTGTTTGCGAGCCGGACATTTCACGCCGAAATGCTCGAGCAAAATTCGATGCGCTCATTGTCAACGCTTTCATAACACATTGTTACACCCTGAGAATGATCAAAATCAGGACATAGCGGAAAATTCCCGTTTATCGAATTCGAGCGTTAATGCGTCTACTACCACGAGTAAGACTGTCGTAGTCGGCGACGCCGCCGTCGCCAGCGTGCAAACTATCAAACCTCCGAATACCACGATGCCCACCGTTCTTCTCGCGACCGCGTGAGTTGACATACACATTTCTGAAGAAAGATGTTTCAAGGTTCGCGCTTTATTAGATCAAGGGTCTAATTTTAGCTTTATTTCCGAAGCATTGAGTCAAACGCTTCGCACTAAACGACAGAGGACCGATCTTCAAATAAAAGGTTTCGGGGAGAAATATACCGGTTCTGCGCGATCGAGAGTTTCACTAAATTTGACGCCGTGCGAAAAATTGAATCCTGTTTTTCCGGTCACTGCGTATGTATTCCCGCGAATAACTTCGTACGCCGCGTCGCGAATTCGGCCTATAGAATCGTGGCCTCATTTACAGGGCCTTTTACTAGCGGATCCGGATCCATCTAGTCGACATCAGATTCATATGCTGATCGGCGCGGACGTGTACGGTTCGCTCTTGTTGCGCGACCTGAGACAGGGCCCTCATGGAGCGCCCACTGCCCAATCGACCGTGTTCGGTTGGATAATCTCTGGACCGACCGGAAGTAAAGAAACTACTTCACAAAAAGTAGCTGTTTTGAATTGCGTATCCGTGCTAGATGTGGACTCTCTTCTCCAGAAATTCTGGGAGGACAAAGAGATTCTCACGCCGACTCCCCTCACGGAGGAGGAGGAAAAATGCGAATCTCATTTCGCTCAAACGCACAGTCGTGATCCTGACGGTCGTTATGTCGTGAGATTACCCTTCAAAAATACTTTGCCGATCGATATCGGGGAATCTCTTTCCATAGCGCGTACATTGTACGGTCGTCTGGAAAATAAATTGAATTCGAAATCCGACCTCTGTTCGCTATACAGAGACTTTCTTACAGAGTACGAGGCACTTGGACATATGACTCGCGTTTGCGAGTCAGAACCCACTGAGAATATACCGATTTATATTCCCCATCATCCAGTAATGAGAGAGGATAGTTGCACCACAAAGCTTCGAGTCGTATTTAACGCGTCGTGTAAAACACGGAATGGCGCGTCACTTAACGACCACTTGCTCATCGGGCCAAAGTTGCAGCAGGATCTCCCTGCCGTCTTATCGCGTTGACGTGTATGGCGCTTGGTTTATACGGCAGACATCGCCAAGATGTTTCGGCAGATACGCGTGCATCCGCGGGACGTCGATTACCAAAGAATCCTGTGGCGTCCGACGGATGACGCCCGCTTACTCACTTTCGCCTTCTTACAATGACGTATGGTTTAGTGTCGGCATCTTATCTGTCGATGCGCGTGCTTCGACAGCTCGCGCTTGATGAGGGTGCAAAATTTCCTGCCGCGGTACCGATCGTCAATGATTCCATTTACGTGGACGACGCATTGTTCGGAGCAAACGATATCGATTCGTTAATAAATACGCGAACTCAGCTCGTTGAGCTAATGAGGCGCGGAGATTTTTTACTTCGTAAATAGGCTTCGAACTGTAGCGAGCTTCTTGACGATTTGTCCAGCGAGCAATCGGACGTTACCGATCACCTCATCCTAAAAGACAAATCGTTGAAAATACTCGGATTATCATGGCTCCCTACGGAAGACTCCTTTCGTCTCACTGTGAAATTTAATTTTCCTATCGCGTTAACTAAGCGTTCAATCCTTTTTTTTTTTAGTGACGCTGGGGAAACCGTCATGGTACCGCGCACCTCCGGGTAGAGGTGCGGGTTATGTGGGAATCCTTGTTCCCCTTGAACGAGCCACGAATGGTTCGACCAGGGGGCCCAAGGCCTACCTCACTAAAACCCCAGCGGGTGTCCTGCTCGGGCGTTGGATAGGGGACGGCGAGGATGCTGGTATCCCATGCCGTCTCGCCGCCCCCGCCAAGCCGTCTCCGGGGAGCTGCCTCGGTCTTACGGCCGAGACCCCTTCCTGACCGTACAGTCAATGATTGTGCGGTTCCCTCGCGGTTGCGGCGCGGGGCGACACCGGCCCCACGCCGCGCCTTCCCAAAAAGTTTGGGGGGCGGGGCCATGGCTCGAGAACTCCCGCTCGAGCCATCGCCCCCCGCCCCCCCCCGGTGGTCGCGACCCCCGGACCCCCTAAGGGTGATCCGATTCGGCGTTTTACCGGGGGAGCCCTCACCAGGGGGTTCCTCTCTGAAAGAGGGAAACCCCCTCCGTGGACGACGTTGCCCTCCCACCGGTGCCTTATGGCTCCCGGTAAGAGGGCCCCGCACGTCACGTCTCCGTCCTTGAGGAGGGCCCAGGCGCCCCCAGCGGACGGGCGATGCCTACCCGCCAGGGACACGTGGCCCCCCCTCGGTCCCCCCGGCTGCGGCTTCCTCCGCTTCCTTGAGAGTTAGGATTTGGCCGCAGCCAAGGGGATTTCCCGTTCGGGGACGCGGCCGCGCCTACCCCGCCTAAGCGAGGCGACGCACCCGCGCCCCCGAATTCCCGTGAGATCCTCGGGGGGGGGAAGCCCAGGGACTTAAGTGTTCCCAGCCCCCCCCCCCCGGAGACCTCATCCCGCATCTATATCTGACGCGGGTATGTGCAAAGCGAACCCCTCCCCTGATCCATGCCGCCACAAACGAGCAAGCTTGTCGACGGCGAGAAAAGAGAGGGCCCGTTCCCGCCTCCCATGACTTCGTCTCCTCTCCTCCTCTTTCTGAGGTTGTACCCCCCCCCCCAATTCCCACCGCCATCGGCAGGCAAGCCCGCCGACGGCGGGGGCGGAGAAGGCACACCTTTTCCCTTCATATCTCCTCTTTTTCTCCTTCCACTGGGAGCGCGCCCCCCCCCTCCCCCGATCCCCGACACCACAAACGGGCAAGCCCGCCGATGCCGGGGAAAGAGGGGGCACGTTCCCGCCCTCCGTCTCTCCCTCTCTCTCTCTCTCCCTCTCAGCCTCCTCCTTCTGCAGCATAACTTTGCTGCAGAAGGAGGAGAACGCCCTCTATGCTTCCTCATTTTCCGTCATTGCCCCCACTATTGAGGGCAATGACAGATTCCCTCCTACTACAGCCACGAGCTCCACTCTCTCGCCCGCCCAGGCAACACAATCCAGTGTGTGCTGGGCGGTGTCGCGCTCGTGGCCGCAGTGATGACACCGCGTTGTGCGCTCTTTCCCTATCCTATTCAGGTACTCAACGAAACAGCCATGTCCGGTGAGTACCTGTGTCATATGAAAGAACACCCCTTCTTTGGCCCTGTCTAGCCAGCTTTCTAGACAGGGTATAGCCTCGACGGTGCGCTATCCTGGCAGCCTTGGATCTGCAAGGCTGTCCTTCCATCTTTGGATCAGCGCCCGCCGAGAGTGGACCCTCACTGTACGCCGGAGTCTCTCCGTCACTATGATGCCCGCCCGCTGATAATCACGCGTACACGTGTAAACTTCCGCGTACATGCGGGCGAGCATCTCCACAGGGGGTACTCCAGAGAGCACCCCCACTGCCGCCCAACTCAATGTACAGTAGCCCCGACAGATCCTGTTGGCTACCCGCCTCTGTACTTGCCTTAGTGCATTTCTTGAGCCGCGGGCAGCCTCCAAGCATTCCGCCCATACCGGGGCCCCGTACAGGAGCATGGCGTGTATCGTTCCGGCGTACAACTTCCTAACACTCCCGCCGGGTCTCTTAAGATTGGGCAGCAGATGCTGTAGCGCCATTGCTGCCCTCTCTACTTTGGGGGATATGCGGCGGAAGTGCTCCCGGAAGGTCCACTTGCTATCGAGGTGGAGGCCTAGGTATTTTAAGCAGGCCCCCACCTCTACTGGGGTGTCCTCCACTCTGATGTGGACTCTTGGTGGCGCTCCATGAGAGCCATCGTGTAAAAAAATGGCCTCAGTTTTTTGGGGCGTCACCTTGAGTCCCATCCGTTTTACAAAGCGCACAACGCGGTTGACTGCGATGTTCGTCCGAGCGGTCGCGTCCTCCCACGAGTTCCCCCGACTATCACCAGTGTGTCGTCTGCGTAACACACCGTGTGGCAGTCAGGGGGGAGGGCTTGCCGAAGAACGGCGTCATATGCGAGATTCCATAGAAGGGGTCCAAGCACTGACCCCTGCGGAACCCCGCACGTCATTTGACGCCTTTGTTCCTCGGCATTACTGTTGGTATAGGCCAATCGCCTGTCCCGGAAATAGTCCGCCAGGATTGACACCAGATACTGGGGGACCCTGTGATAAGCCAGGGTCGCCCCAATCCGGTGCCATAGCAGGGTGTTGAAGGCGTTCGATATATCTAATGACACAGCCATCAACACCCCGCCTTCCTCCGTTACGGCCCCCGAGATCGAACGAACCCGACGAATTGCGTCTATTGTGGATCGTCCAACCCGGAAGCCGTATTGTTCCCGGTTCAGATTCGGACCTTTCCGGGACAAGTGGTAGACGAGGCGGTCTACTATGATCCTCTCAAGGATCTTACCCGCCTCGTCTATTAGGCAAATTGGCCTATACGCCGAGGGCATATCTCTTGGCTTGCCCTCTTTAGGAAGGAGGACTATTTTGGCCTTCTTCCATTCTCGTGGGAAACGGCTCATGCGGAAGCATTCGTTGTACATCCTCCGCATGGGCCTCGCCAGACCCCGATAGGCGAGAACCCATATCTTTCCGTGGACGCCATCAGGACCGGGAGCTTTTCCGGACTTAATCTTCCTGATGGCGCCACGAAGCTCTCCTTCCGTGACCCCCATGGCCTTCTCGTCCCACTCCCATTCCCGCTCCGGAATTGGGTCATCATGATCCTCCTCCCGCGGGAACAGGGTGTCTACGACTTGGCCGACAAATTGGGAGTCTAAGGACTCCGTGATTGGGGCGCCTCCGCTTCTTAGCTTCTTTAGAACTATACGATAGGGGCGCCCCCACGGGTCTTTGTTCAGGGAGGAGAGCAACTCCTCCCAGGCTCTCGCCTTTGCCCTCCTTATCAGGACGCATAGGTCATCTCGCTTTTCTTTGTAGATGTCCCACGCGTCCTGATATCCCTCGGGGTCCAACCGCTCTAACTTCCTTCTCTTATAGGCTCTTCTTCTGGCGTGGTCGGAGGCTCGCCTTGCTTCGGCGATTTCCTCCAACCACGCCAGAAAAAGAGCCTATAAGAAAAGAAAGTTTGAGCGGTTGGACCCCGAGGAATATCAGGACGCGTGGGACATCTACAAAGAAAAGCGAGATGACCTACGCGTCCTGATAAGGAGGGCAGTAAGCCTTTCGGGGGACTTCCGTTTTATTTTGGGCATGGCTGCATCACAGGCATCATTTACTGTCTTGAGCAGCCATGCCCTTTCTTTTTCCAGGTCCTCCCTACTTTCCCCTCCTCGTACCATCAGGGCCGCTTCGACTGCAGCCAGAAACGCGTCCTGGTCCAACTTCTTGAGGGCCCATCTCCGAGAGACAGTTTCTCTCTCTTGGCGGCGCTCAATCACTTCACGGGGGAAGGCACCGACGGAGAACTCTATGTATCTATGATCAGAAATAGTTTCCGTCTCCGCCAGTATCTCCCACCCGCTCACCAACCTTGAGGCAGGGGGAGTAATCCATGTCAAATCTATGATTGACTCCCCCTGCCTCCTAACACATGTGGCCTTTCTCCCCCTATTACAGTGGAGGAGACCACCTCGCGCCGCCCAGTCTAGGACTTGTCCACCCCGCCAGTCGTCGCGTGGGGACCCCCAAGCACCTGACTTGGCGTTGAAGTCCCCCGCGACGACTATTGGGGCGGGGTGATATTCCGCCAGCTGTCTCTCTATGGCGTGTAGTCTCCCGCAAAAGTCCCCTCTACTGAGACTTGGCGGGAGGTACACGCCAATGACGATGATGGACCCCCATCTGACTGTGACCGTACCCTCCCCCGATTTTAAAGGTTCCATCGGGGGAGAGTTTGACGCTCCTCTGTGGGTGATCGCAGCCAAGCCGTCCGTACTACTCGCTCAGTTGTTGTCTGGAACACGGTGCGGCTCAGCTACGATTTCCAGGCCGTAGTCTCTCTCCGCCATATTTTGGACGAAGAGATCCTGGGCCGGCCCTGAATGATTTAGGTTTGCTTGTAGTACTTTATAAGCCATTTCTTTCTTTTTTCTCCTCCATAGGTCCTACCTCCATAGCGGCAGGATCTCCCTCATT